CACAATGCACTCCTCGCCTTGGCCAGCTGTGGCGCCAAAACTGCCCTGGCTCGACTGACGCCAGGCAGCTGCGCGAGAGGGCTGGCGGGGTGGGGGGTGGTGGTGCTAGGGTTCTGCAGCACCTCGTTTGCAGCCACCACAGCCACCTGCAAAGCAGGCCCCCAGCGCGGTCCGTCCGCCTGCGGAGGAGTAGGCATGTTAGTAGCCAAGGGCTTAAAACGTTGCTACTTGGCACACTGCTCTGTGGGTTTGGGGAACAATATGAAGAGATTCTTTCTTGGGTTCCCAGGGGCCCTCAGCCAATCTTGCGTTTCCTGAAAGGTCTGCGCAGCAAGAAACTGAGTGCGCTTCGTCCAGACACTGCGGGAAAAGAATCATGGATCCCTTATGGACGTGGAAGTCCACTCTGTGCATCCCTCTTTGGAGAGTCGGCAGACCCAGGGCTCGAGCAAATTCCTGAGTGGAGTGGTAACCCTGGGTTTTCGCACTGGATAGGGGAATCTCTCCGGAGTTCCCTGGCGCTGGTCCCGTGCAGCCCAGGCCTGAATCAGCGTCTAGGCTACTTAGGAGCTACTCCCACTTAACTCAGCCCTGGCAAAGCCACCTTCCTTTGCTTGGGGGAGTGGAAGGGGGGTGGGGAGGTTAATGCTGCAGTCTCCAAGGGCAGCATTTCTGAGGGGATTCTCCCTACAGGAAAGGCACAACCGCAGCCAAAACAATAAAATTTTAAACACACAGATACATTGAACCAAGGTGTCTGTGCTGTAGGCTTACTGGCTGCCTGCGGATGAGCGGTTAGTCCGAAGCTTGGAGCAGAGCAGGTTCTTGACAATAGAAAGATGGTAATTTGACTCCAGCGCCCCTTCATCCGATTCCAGCACCCCCTTCTCCCTTTTAACAACACCGCCCCCAGGCGCTAAGGCACCTCTACTACAGCAGGGCACACTCCTTCCCTCCCAAATGACACATTTGTAATTCACCTGTGGGTGTCTCTGGTCGAGGATTTACGAAAGAGGGTGGGGGAATTTCAGTGCTTTTAAGGAAATGTTTGGGAGATTGACAGAGCCTTGAGGTTCTTCTGTGGGCAGCCACCTGTTTCCAGGATGCTCAAGGCTGGGATTTCCTGGGACCCTCCCTGTGTGGCAAAGCTGATTAAGGTAAGAAAATCCTAATCAGTTCAAAAGCTCAGCCTCGAGAATTAGTCATCAACAACACGGTACACAAGACAGGATGCTGAGTCTGCATCCTCGATGCACTCAGATTACACACCTTGTCATCAAGAGGGTAATCAAGAAAGAGTACAAGGTAAAACACAAGTGAGCAGACAATCATCCTACCTGCTGGCAACCCACACCTTGGTTCCTGTCAGATACTTGATCCTGAACTGGTGGACATCAGATGGATTGTGGACCAGAACCACAATTACAATGATAATTGTAACAGTTATAATTAATATACTTATTGAGTAAGGTACCTAGGAACAAAGGGACATAAAATAATGAGTGATTCCAGTAGCGTGGGCTAGGTCAAGAAAAACTTGGAAGAGGAGGTGAGTTTTGAACAGGTTTCAGAGGAAGGGAAAGACCAAGATTCAGAAACTGCTGTGTGGAGGTGGGGGGACTCTGACCAGGGGGCAAACCCAGAGGATGGAGAAGCTGGCTGTATTTGGAAGGGTGGAGACAACAAATAATTGGGCACTTATAGAGCTGAACACCCTGGTCCTCAAGAATCTGGGGTGGAGGTGGGACACTGCGGAGAGGGAGGTCTGCAGTAGTTCTGCAGGGAGGCTGCCAGGGAGTGGGGAGGCAGGCAACGCCAATGACAGGATTTCAGACTCTCCCATTGCTGTTGGTTACAGGGGTGGCTGTTGTTATTGGAACGGAAATATGCTGGATACCAAGTAGAAAGGCTAGTGAGAGACACTGGGGTTGTGACAGTAGTTGGCGAGAAGGCTTTTAGTTCTGGGGAGCCATCAGGTGTACCCTATTTTAAAAAATCAATTCTATGAATGTAACCCATATTTATTCACACAATTCCACCCCCACCCTCCGTGGCCTTTTTTATTAAAAGGAAGCAATCATGAGACGTTGCCTCTTGTTTATTCAACAAGTATTGACTGCTCGCTAGGTATCAAACATTGGGGTAGGCACTGTGTTTCAAGTACCTGCTGCTTTACTTAAGAACCTCATGGTTTCCAAGGTTTTTTGACATGTTCATTTAACTAAAGAAAATTGGAATCAGATGATCCTGTGTTTACAGGAGCATCTAAGGCAGGTCCCAAATTGTACCCAAATAAGAACAGGGCTCTACTTCTTTCCAAAATCAAACAACCACCAGGAAAATGTCCTAAGCAGGCTCAATGAGTTGCCTTTTAGGAGCCCGGGCCACACCTTCAGAGAACAGGTGTGTCTTGCTCTAAGTAGCTGTGACTTTTAAGTCAAATTGACACTAAAGATAAATGGCAGGATAATGCTTCACTTTCCAGAAGGATTCACCCCCAGCATTCCTTAAAATGGTCCACTTCCCAAGTGCAACTGGAAATAATTTTGTTTTACACAAGTATGCTCCTTATAGTGTAAAATAAGGGGTGACACAAGGGAAGAGGAGGAGACAGAGAATAGATATTCAACCTAGTGAAGGAAGAGTTTTCTTAGGAATTTTACCCAAAGCAAATCCTACCTAGAGGCAAGGCCCCAGTGGAGCACTAGGATCTTTGCCTGGGTTTCTCAGCTGACTGGGTTTTCAATTCAGGTTCTAAAGCAGGAAAAACAATAGATTTTCAAATGACACCATGTGGTTTGCTGAGTCACTTTCCCAACCTGGCTCCTGTGCTTTTAAGAGTTAGAGTGATATTTGCAAAGGAGACCCAAGAGTTGTGAATAGGATCAAAAGCCAGTTAGTGGGGAAGGAGTAGGTGAGTGATAGAAAAAAATCAGAAAGACCGTACACACATACACTCCCCCAATTAAGTCTCTAAGATAACCTGTGAGGTGTTGAGACACTTGGCTGTGTCACAAAAATACCCTTGGTATATCCAGATGTTCCCTCGCTCTCTTTTGCCAATTTGGGGCAGAGATGATATGAGTGACAAAGCAGAAAGGCAGACAGGAATGGGAGGGGATGTTGGTAAGTTCAGCCTCTCTGTGGAACTAACTAGAAGATTCACGGAGAAGTATCTATCATCAAATAGACTTATGGACCCTGCTTTAGAGAATCATTTAGGTTCCCTCGAAATCCAGAGGAAGAATAACCAACCTTCAAGGTAAACAGATGAAACATGTCCTGCTTCCCCATCCTCACCACTTGTAGTCCGGCTTCTTCCAGGCTCGCTCACCCTGTTTACCACCCTTCAGTTTGCCGTTTGCATCCCAAATGGCCCTCTCACACAAAGGGCCCTGGTGTCACAGGTGTCTCTAATGGTCCTTTCAGGTTTCCTGGAGGCTGGACTTAGGCCCCCTTGGAAGGGAGCTCATTTCCCAACTCTCCTTACCTCTCCTCCCGGGTTCGATAGGGTACTTTAGTACGTGGGCGCCTATAAACGCTCAAGCCACTTCTACATTTCAATGTAAAATAGTCTTAGACTAATGTCCTATTAGAAATGACCCTGATGAGTCATACCCCTCACTTTCAAGGCTGACGTCAGGGGAGACAGCCAGCCCCTCCCACCTCCCTTGGAGCCTTGCGGGGATAGCACTGGGGAAGACGAGATGAATGGTGGGGCTAACCCAGAGTGTCACTCTTGACCATTCCCTTCCCTATAGAAGGGAATGTCTGCTGAGGGCTGAAGGGTGAGCAACCACCCCTCCCTGTCTCCACCACCAGGCCTCCTGAGTTCGGCTGATTTTCTCCCTCCCTGCCCCCTCCCTCTTTCTTCATCCCCTCCTTCCCAGTGCTGTGGTCTGGGAGGCTTCAATTGGCAGCTGCTTCCTGAGGCTGCAGTGAGGCCTCCCCGAGTGATCAGGTCCAACAAACAGACCCAAGTTGCCTCTTTAGGCCCAAAAATGACAGTCACGCCAATGGGTGGGAGACCCCATTGGAAGGCTCCCCACTGCTTCATCCTCCTCACTATAGAGCTAGACTCTCATAGGGTAATTCATCCCTGGTATTTCCTGTTGAGAGCCCTCTCCCCAGGCCAGAGAAATGCATGCAGAGTATGGAGCAGTGCTTGATTCCTTTAAAAAAAATTAAATTGAAAATGAGTCTAGATATCATTTTTCTACCTGACTTAATAAGCCTGTTTTCAAAAAAAAATATTGGTTTGCGCTATCATGTCTGATAAGCACCAAGTGGGAGAAGGTTTTACCATCATTTATATGTATGTCGCCCTCACATAAGCTTATATGTGTATAAGTTATAATCCTCCCCATCCGACTCCCCCGATACATATCTTTGTGGACTAATGGCCTCCGAACACTTACTTTATTATACACATTTGTTATGTGACAAATCTTGCCAACACACTGTTTTAAAGTTGATACATGAGGCAAATGTCAGAAATAAATGAAAAAAGAACCCCAGTTCCTAGCTGGGTTCTGATATTTACACTAAAATGAAATTTCATGTCTCCAGCTTATGAGAAAAGCCATTCTTAGTTGCACATTGGCTTTAAGATATTTTTATTTAATACCTCCACACGTACACTTCCCATTTATCATATGCCTTATAATTTAACCTGAAAAACAGTCTACTAAGTGGGTCTGACACATCTTTTACAGAGTGCCGAAAGCACAAAAATGTGTTTTGTTTTTATGTAACTGGAAAGATTTCTTCTGTTGTTTATTTTCAAACTGGAAATAGATATTTTTATTGTGAATGTGGTACCTGATGACCGCCAAAAAACTAAAGCTCCATGTCTTGCCCATAATTCCACTCCCCAGAGATAACCCCGGTTACCAGTAAGAATAGGAAAGGAAAACCTTCCTAGTGATTTTTTCTTGTGTCTGTCCCTTCCCCAGCCAAAATGACCAATTTCAATTTCTCCATGTACTTTCAGGAGCCTTCAATCGGAGGAAACGAAACTCCATATATGTCACCGTGACTTTGCTTATTGTGTCCGTGTTAATTCTCACCGTGGGCCTTGCTGCAACCACCAGGACCCAGAATGTGACTGTTGGAGGTTATTACCCGGGAGTTATTGTAAGTATCAAAAATATAGGTGGGTCTCAGTAGCTTGCTGGCTGCAGACATTCGGGTTCTACTTTGATGGTTTTCAATTCGGTTTGAGTTTCTGGTGTTTGCTCAGTTTTCCTCCTTTATATATCTCTATGTGTATATACAAAGACAATTCTGGATCCATTAAGAAGAGCCCTGGCCAGGCCAATGTGGCTAAGTGGTTGAGAATTGACCCATGAACCTAGAGGTCATGGTTGGATTCCCAGTTGGGGCACATGCCGGGGTTGCAGGCTGGATCCCCAGTAGGGGGCGTACAGGAGGCAGCTGATTGATGATTCTCATCATTGATGTTTCTGTCTCTCTCTTCCTCTCCTTTCCTCTCTCTGAAATCAATAAAAATATATTTTTAAAAAAAAGAAAAAGAAGAAGAGCATTGGACCAAGACTCTCCACCCCTAACTAGCAGTGAGATCTTGAGCAAGTCATCTCACTCTTTGGAACCTAGGTTTTCTAGTCCAGGAGATGTTACTAACTAGCAGTGTTAACCTTAGGCTAAGATCCTTTTCTCTCTGAGCATCTGCTTCCCAATATATAACAGAAGCCTCCTGATCTTACCTGAAATCCCAGGACTCTGACAGCTTGACACTCCGTGACCAACAGCACTGATCTCCAAAGTGATCAGTCTTATTAGGAAAAATATGTAGAATATTTACTCCTACAATATGTATATTTATTCATTTGTAAATTATGTACATGTTTATAAAACATACAAAGTGGAAATTTAAAAATTAGATAAAAGTGAAATCAACACTAATTTTAATATCTTCATATTAACACTCACTAAATTTCAGAGGATGATATGCACATCACATGAAGTCTGTCAGTAAAGACAGTGACTATAAATTCTTATTTCAAATAACCCACTAGATAATTTTGAATATTTTTGGCTGACTTCTTATCAAATGTGATTAGATTGCCATTGGCATCATTGCTTTTGAATGTGGCTCTCACCATGTGGCTGACAAGAAGCTCACCCTGCGAGTTAGAAGTGTCAGCTCTACCGTTTTCTTGTTGCTGGCTTCTGCTTACATTACTAAGGTCATCTTCAATTTGTGGTTTCTCAGTAGGAATCTTTCCAAACTACTTGTCCATTTTGTTGGGACTAATTTAGTTAAAACTGGATAAGACAATCCAGGTACATGTAAAAACACCCCACCATCAACCCTTTGCTGCTTGGAACTTGCCCTCCTCCCTCAGGATAGCTTACCTTGTTGTCTGACATTCACACCGAGGGAGGGCGCCAGTGACAGTCTGTTTACTGAACATTTGTAACGTTTAGTTCCTTTCTTATTATTTTAGATAAACAATAGATAGGAAACAAGAATTCAAATAGTTTCTTTCTATACTTTGGTGGACTGTTTTCCCAATTCCCAGGGTGCATGCAACCCACTTTGGAAACTGCTGCGCTCTTTACATACAAAACCTCATTTTATATCAAATCATCACACTGTGCACTTTAAATATATACAATTTTATTTATCAATTATACCTCAATAAAGCTGGGCGGGGGGAGAAAAGAAAAACAAACAGAAACCTCATTTTGATCTATACAAACTTCTGTTAAACACCAAAATCTAACTCTAGAAGTTGGATCATATTTTCAATATCGACTGACTTCCCAATTGTAATTGCTGGCAAGCAGGAAAGAATTTTAGGATGGTTCATTTTTTATTTTATTTTTTTAATGTTAGGATAACAAAGAGGTGAGACGTATTTGTTGTTGTTTTGTTTCTTTTCTTTTTTTTTCCTTTTTTCTTTTGAGAGGTGGGAAGGGAGAAAGAAGCAAAGAGAGGGAAAGCGGTTAAAGATAGATGTCTTTGACAAACCAGCAGTGACCAAGCCAGACGCCTGTTGCTTAGGTCATCAATTACATAGTCAGCCTCCTCAAGAGCGCTAGCAAAGGTGGGGCATGACGTGGGCTGTACTCCCAGGAGCTGAAGGCTGCCTGGGAACCTCCCTTTACAGCTCTTGGGCTGGCAGGGCTCCCCCTCCCGCCCCCAGCAGCCAAGGGCAGGTGTCCCACAGACAAGTTTGGTGCCCTTTGTTAAACACGTGATGTGAGAACTCACCCAGTCCACTTCCTGTGGTGAGGGAAGGAAACCAGTCGTCAGCAGAATTGGATTTTATTTTTAAACACAAGCAAGGGGCAAGTGGGGAGAGGAAAGGGAGGGAGATTGCAATTTGGTGGCTTGGAAAAGCAATATCTAGAGTCCGTGTGACTTTGTGTGCTTCAGTTAGCTGCATTTAGTGAAATAGTTCTGACTGATGAGCTAATAATGCTCAAGCCAAGATTCAAACTCTCCACGGGTGAAGGGAAAGTATTTTCCATGTGATTTAAGAGTAGGAACTCCTATTCAGGAAAGGTGGTCATGAACTTTCTCTGTAGAATATCTCACTGTGGGTGGCTAGGTGGGGATGCATTAACAAAGGAAGGAGGATGCAAAATTGTTATTATTTGAGTACGTGATGTTCAGCTAGAGCTGCAAAGTGAAGCAGTGGGGGCGTGTGTCTCTGTGTGTGCTTTTCACTAAAAGCTAATCTGGAAATGTTAATAGGAGAGCCATCCTTAACAGACAGTGTGCCCCGTGGTTTAACCTTTAAAATTTTGTTCTCATAGTTCATGTTGATTTTTTATCAAAATGGGTTTTAATTATAGAAAGCGAAGGGGAAAATTACAGATTGAAAAGCAGAAAAATCCATTTGAGTTTATAGGTCAGATCACGATGTAACAAATACAATTACCATTCATACCTCTGAAAACAGTAAACGCCTGAGAATGGGACACTTTTACTAATTGAATAGTTTGGTTATTAAGGTGCTATATAAACTCCAAGCCAGCAGTTTCCCCACCTTAGCATGCACAAGAATGACTTGGTGAAAATGTGGAAAATACCGAGCTGCGCTCCCTACCCCCAGAGATCCTGATTTAGTAGGTCTGAGTGGGACCCAAGGACCTGAGTTTTCCTTTGCTGAGCTAACCTTTGATTAGAAAAGTAAGACATGCTGATCCTGCATTTTATTTATTTATTTATTTATTTATTTATTTATTTATTTATTTTTCCTTTTTTTTAATCTTTATTGTTCAAAGTATTACAGATGTTCCCCCTTTTCCCCCATTGACCCCCTCCACCCCGCA